TGCAACTCACTTTTATTATATAGTAGAATCAATAGTTTCAGGTCAACAGGTCAATCAGGTCAGGTCAATCTTCATACCTGACCTGAATTTTTTTAAAAAATCTCATACCTGAACTGAATTTCAGGTCAGGTCAAGTCAGGTTACCTGAATTTGGCTGACCTGTTCGGAGCTCTAGATCCAACCCGTTCAGAACACTAGTTGTTGTGCTACTGTTATTCTACGATGCTTACTAAGTAAGGTCATATCTTCCTAGAAATCCATCAAGCCATTTATTAGAAAATTTGAACCTAACAATATCCAGATTATTTGCTAATGATTCTGGACTTTTGGATAAGGAAATGGCTTTATTAATAATTAATTTTTGAATAACAGCATTTCCATTGGCTCTTTTTTTACTTATCCATGCAAATAAATCATCTTCTAATTTTGGATATCTGGCAGGTTTATCTTGATGAAGTTTAGCCACATGAGGAGCAGTCGTTAACAAAGTTCCTTTTTTATTTTTCCAATTATGCAATTGTTTAAGCTGAATATCAAATATTTTAGCAGTTCCACGTATACTTCTATTATTATTTTCATAATAATGCACTATCATTAATTTTTCCCTTACATTCCATTGTCTTCGTTTCTTTTGTGGTAAATGATTGTGTGTTTTTTATTTTTCTTGTTGCCAATAACTACCATTTTACTTTTAGCAGAAAGAAAAAAAAGACACGTAAATAAAGACACAGTAGAACAAACTTGGGGGTTCTGGGATAGCAGCTATCACATAGGTCTAACCATAATTTAGGGTATCCCCAGACCACCTCACCTTATTTTCTGATATGATAACACTATACCTGTTTTTCTATCCCCAGACCACCTCACCTTGATTTCCGATATATTATTACTTGATAGCTAAAAAGAACCCCTTAAGCGTTGTAGATAAGATTAAGATCATATATTCCTAGGTTTTCTTACCACGCATGAATCCTTTCCAGGGTATCATGATTTTATGCTATATCAGATTGCCTTTATAAGTGCTAAAGGTATGAAGGACACAAAGTGGCTGTAATACTGATAGCACGATTCAGCAATCCATTGTGGCATACTATTTTTATGATACTCTAAAAGGGATTCATTTGATAATTTAAGCCATTCATGCTCTAACCAAAAATTTTTAACAGGAAGGCAACTAGACATATTGTAAAGCTTTTCCTGCTATACGAAAAAATCTGGGACAACAGGTCTAACCAAAAGTCTAACCAAAAATCTGACCCAGATCTAACCAAAATGTATAGCAGGAAGGTAACTAGACATATTGTAAAGCTTTTCCTGTTATACAAAAAAATCTGGGACAACAGGTCTAACCAAAAGTCTAACCAAAAATCTGACCAAGGTCTAACCAAAAAATATATAGCAGGTAGTCAACTAGACATATTGTAAAACTTTCCCTGTTATACAAAAAAATCTGGGACAATAAAGTCTAACCAAAATTTAACCCTAATCATAAATTGCTCTGATTCTTTGACGAAGCCTATTTTCATACCGATTTTAGTAACATATCTGCCGATCCTCGGAATTAGTCAAAAATTAAAAAAAAAAAAAATTTTTTTTAAAATTATTTTTGTTACTCAAGTTTCACAATATTGCATTAACGTCATATTAT